TTTTTTTTTTTTTTAACAGTGTAACAAATGATGCTCTCAGGGGCTATTTTTGGGAAGATTAAATGATATAGTGCATGTTAAGCAGTTAGTATTGTGTCAAACTCACAGTAAAGGCTCAATAAAAATTATCTGCTGGGGCTTCCCTGGTGGCACAGTGGTTGAGAGTCCGCCTGCCGATGCAGGGGCCACGGGTTTGTGCCCCGGTCCGGGAAGATCCCACATGCCGGAGCCACTGGGCCCGTGAGCCATGGTCGCGGAGCCTGCGCTCCACAACGGGAGAGGCCACAACAGTGAGGGGCCTGCGTACCGCAAAAAATAAATAAATAAATAAATAAATAAATCTGCTATTGTAATTATTGCTCTTATTAGAGACTTAACTGGCCACACTTAGGTTAAGATCCTTATGAATTTAGACAACCCCCAGCCCACCACCACCTGGTGGCAGTTAGTGGTACTGCACACATTGTGAGGAAGAATTATTAAATTGCTTGGAACTAATTCCATGTAGTTTCATTTCCACTAAGTATCAAAGGAACTTTGTGCAGGCAGAGTATGGCTTATTTGCCGAGAGCTGCAATTCATATATCACTAAACAATGAAGGGACATTTTTTCACTTCCATAGTTGGCATAGATTTAAAAAATGTTAACAACAGAAGTCAATGAAGTGGGCATGTCAATTAGTACACCATTTCTGGAGGGCAGATGGTGATGGAACAAAAGTCTTGAGTGTTTTTATATTTTGTGGCAACCATTCCTCTTCTGGGAATTTATCTTGAAATAATCAAGGATATAAAAAATATTTATTTAAAAAGAAAAAATATATAATGTATAAAATAGCATTACCTTTAATAGAATGAAACAGGGAACAATCCCTTTTTCATTTGTGAATCAGATTCCCAATCCTTATAACAGTGATTTTTTTTTTTTTTTTTTTTTTTGCGGTACGCGGGCCTCCCCCTGTTGTGGCTTCTCCCGCTGCGGAGCACGGGCTCCGGACGCGCAGGCTCAGCTGCCATGGCTCACGGGCCTAGCCGCTCCGCGGCATATGGGATCTTCCCGGACCGGGACACGAACCCGTGTCCCCTGCATCGACAGGCGGACTCTCAACCACTGCGCCACCAGGGAAGCCCCAGCAGTGATTCCTAAAAAGAGTGGGTAGACATCTTCTAGGGGCAGAAGAATCGGGATGGGCTTCAGATCAGAATCTGCTCTAGGGGCTGTGTAGTTTAAGAACATTCAGTATACCTATTGATTTCATAATAAAAACTATAGAATATAAAGTTGAATGTAGTCATCTTGGCAGATAGAGATCATATAGAAGAGATATATTATAGGGAGGGTGTGTTAATAATTTCAGTTTGGGAATGCTGATTTATAGGAAATAGGAGTATTGATGAAGGCAAAAATTAATTTTGGACTTTTGGGGAAGAAGGGGCCTGGATTGGATCATTGTAGGAACATTAGAGCAACATGACTGAAGCGTAGGCCTGATAATTTAGGGGTACAGGGACACATCTCCAAAGATAAATTCTCCCTCATTTCTCTTTGCCCAAGACCTGAGGGCCAAACCACCTTTGACTTGTCTAAATCTCTCGATTTCTGATACTGATGTGTCCATGATGAATGTGAGGTACCTTGTATCTGGAGACACTGATCACACTAACTTTAACTTTTGGGAGGAGGTTGTACATAGTGGGGGACCCTGAACAGGCTCTGTTGCCCCCATGTAAAGCCTACATTCCTTGGCCTCTATTTCAGGGCTCTCTGATCTGGCTGGGTCCCCTCCAGCCTCAGATCTAACAGATTTCAGTTATTTACAACAATAGTAACCCCTCCCCAGGCATAGTAGGTGAAGAGCTGACTTGTAATGGTGTGATTTTAAATCAGTGTACCATAAATTTAAAAGTCACAGCCTCCCCCCACCCCCCAGCTTTGTATTGTGGAACTTTTCAAGTGTGCACAAAGATCAAGAGAATAATTTAATGAATCTTTGTGTACCCATCACCCTTGTTCAAATGTCCCATTTTTGGCCAGTGGGACTCCTTTCAAGTTAGTTTCTAATTCTTTCAATACAGGTTGGTCAGGTTTTTTTTGTTTTCTTTTGTTTTAATTAATTAATTTATTTACTTTTGGCTGTGTTGGGTCTTCGTTGCTGTGTGTGGGCCTTCTCCAGTTGCGGTAAGCAGGGGCTACTCTTCGTTGCGGTGCGGTGGCCTCTCCCATTGCAGAGCACGGGCTCCAGGCACATGGACCTCAGTAGTTGTGGCTCGCGGGCTCTAGAGTGCGGGCCCAGCAGTTGTGGTGCATGGGCCCAATTGCTCCGCAGTATGTGGGATCCTCCCAGACCAGGGCTCAAACCTGTGTCCGTGCATTGGCAGGCGGATTCCCAACCACTGCGCCACCAGAAAAGCCCGGTTGGTCAGTTTTAAATGGACTATATCATCAGTATCTTGATGCTTGCCTGTTATTCTGAAAAATCAGAGGCTTAGAGAATGTAAGGAGGACTGGGCACGTCGGCCCTTTCCATGAAGGAGACATGCAACGCTTGCTTCATTGCTGCATTCTCTGTTGCTTAGCAACATTCTTGCCATAATGTAACTGAGAGATTAATTTGTAGGAAGTTTCCTGTGATTAAAAGATGTGGAAAACTGTGCAGTCATAAAACACACATAGGTTCAGTGGAATAGGACATTTATTAAGCATTTATTGTGTGAAAGATGCTGGCTCAGCACTGGGGAGGATGGCAAGATGACCTAGGGAGTCATGGTTGAGTAATTTGGAGTCACCCAAGGTGAGAGCTCAAGAGATAGTTGTGAAATGATACTAAGAATACCAGGCTATTCAAACTCACAGAAGCAGAGGGTAGAACAGTGCTTACTGGGGGCTGGAGATGGGGGAGGTGGGAGAAACGGGGAGATGTTGGTCAAATGGTACAAAGTGCAGTTATGTAGGATGAATAAGTCTAGAGATCTAGTGTACAGGAGTGATGACTGTAGCTAATAATATTGTATTGAATACTGGAAATATGATGAGACTAGATTTTAGGCGCTCTCGTGAAGCATATGAAAGGTAACTGTGTGAGGAGATATGTAATTGTAGTACTAGCTTATTTGTAGTGATTATTTCACTATGTATGTTAAATATATACAATTTCTATTAAAAATATAAAAAGGTACGTAGACTGTAATAATGATAAGGGAGAAAATGTAATGTCATTTCAAAATTTTAAAATAATATAAAATTGGTAACTTTTACTATAATAGGTGAACAAAGACTTTAAACGAATATGTGTTAAAAAATGGCTATTATTTGGTGTGTTTAAAGAAAAGATTACCAAACTATCAGGGCAGTCCAGGTTCTTGACTTCTGAAGTCACCATCTTTGTGACCTTGTACAATCCATTTCACCTTACTGGCCCTTAGTTTAGTTCCCTCAGTTGAAAAGAGGGATAAGGAAAATGTGGTATATAGGTACACAAAGGAATATTATTAAACCACAAAAAAGAAGGATAGCCTGCCATATACGACAGCAGGGATGGACCTTAGGGTGTTATGCTAAGTGAAATAAGTCAGACAGAGAAAGACAAATACTGTATGATCTCACATGTATGTGGAATCTAAAAAAAAAAAAAAAAAGGAAGAAGAAGAAGGAAAAAGAAAAAGAACTCATAGATACAGAACAGATCGGTAGTTGCAAGAGATGGGGAGTTGGGGGGGCAAAATGGGTGAAGGTGGTTAAAAGGTACAAATTTCCGGTTATAATGTAAGTAAGTCCTGGGATGTAATATACAGCATGGCGACTATAGTTAATAGTATTATATTGTATATTTGAAAGTTGCTAAGAGAATAGATCTTAAAAGAAAAAAATTTTAACTGTGTGGTGATGGATGTTAACTACATTTATTGTGGTGATCATTTCCATATGTCTGTATATATATATATAAATAAATAAAATCGTTATGTTGTATACCTGAAACTAATGTAATGTTATATGTCAACTATATCTCAATTTTTAAAATCCATTAATTGGTAAATGGATATAGACTGTGCTACATCTATAAAATGGAATACCATTTGGTAATAACAAGGAATGAAGCATTGATACATGCTACAACATAGACAGACCTTGAAAACTTTATGCTAAGTGAAAGAAACAAGTCACAAAAGACCTCATATTGAATTATTCCATTTATATGAAATGTCCAGGAGAAAAAAAAAAGAAAAGAGAGGCACTGGACTCAAGCTCTAAAGTGTCCAGGCCCTTGCACTTCTGAAATTATATTAATTATTTACACAGAACTGTACACTTTTAAAAGTGGCCTGCCGTTGTAAAGCAATTATACTCCAATAAAGATGTTTAAAAAACAGAAAAATAAATAAAATAAAATAAAAGTGGCCCTTAGACCTTAAGGATCACAGACTCCAAGCCCTCATTTTTAAGATAAAGAAACTGAGGTTCTTCTAAGAGCATGGACCTAACAAAGGTCACAGACATAGTGATGGAAATGTCAGATCTTCTGGGGTGATTTCTGGATGATTCTGAAATTTTGGTAGTATTTACTTTATCTGTTGTATTAGATCACACAGTGGCTTCTCTTGTCTTAAGCTGTGACAAAACTTTGAGAGACCTGTTTAGTTTAAAAGCTGCCTAACATTATGAATTTGGGGAATTATCTGTTCCTTAATATTAAGCAGAAATAAATGAACACATTAGAGTTCCACACAGATGTTCAACTTTTTTTTTTGCTGTCCTGTACCGGATAATCACAAAATGGTCAAGACCTACAGCAAAGGTCCTACCTGAAAATCTACTTTTAAGTAAAAACCCCATTCCTTGTAATCTTCTGAATGTTTTCTTGAGAATACCACAATTCAACATGAGTGGAAAAGAAAGTACCGTATTTCAGACCAGGGAATCAAGTCAGGGATAGAGCGTGAGTGATTCGCTGACTTGTTTATTGCTGGAGTTGGTACTGATTGTTTCAAACTTCCTGTTCCAGGATAGCTAACAGCCAGGAGAAACGTAGTGGAAAATGCAAAACAACGAAATCATAAAACCTGCCAAATACTTCTCAGAATTGGAAAAGAGCATCCTGCTGGCTTTAGTAGAAAAGTACAAGTATGTGCTGGAGTGTAAGAAAAGCGACGCGCGAACTATTGCCCTCAAGCAGCGTACCTGGCAGGCGCTCGCCCATGAATACAACTCGCAGCCTAGCGTGTCGCTGCGGGATTTCAAACAGCTGAAGAAGTGCTGGGAGAACATCAAGGCTCGGACCAAAAAGATTATGGCCCATGAAAGGAGAGAGAAAGTGAAACGGAGCGTCAGCCCCCTTCTGAGCACCCACGTCCTGGGGAAGGAGAAGATCGCCAACATGCTGCCCGAGCAGCTGTACTTCCTGCAGAGCCCTCCCGAGGAGGAGCCCGAGTACCATGCTGATGCCGCCACTCAAGGTATAGGTGCCTGACACCCGCTTGCATGTTCTCCTTGGGTACCTGTTTGACATTGCGATTTTCAAGTCCTTCATTTTGAGGGAATTTATAAAAAAGAAACTTTCATATCAAACGACTTTCTCAATACAAAATTTCCCAATTAGATAGGACATTCAGGTCGTACATAAAAACAGAAGCTCTTATCTCATGTCTCTCTTAGAGAGATCTCACTTATCTCTGTTATTACTTAAGAAGGAAAAATAAGGGGCTACATTAATATAGTTATTAATGAAATATCTTAGTCGCTTATCTCAATCTATCTCAAATATATTAAAGAGAACTGGAGGATTTATATTCATTCACACTATCGTATTTTTTTTCAAAAGATAGTTTTTGAGGACCTATTATGTGCAAAGCTCTGCATTAAGTTACTCAAAATGCCTCATTAAGAAAGTGAACTATTTCAAACTTAGGAAAAGTACAGAGACTAATATAGCAAACACCTATTTAGCAGTCACCCAGATTAAAAACCAGCATTTCTACCCATTATAAAATTGTGATCTGTAGTTTTGGTTTGTGCACTCTAGGAAACTTGAGAAATAATGGAAAAAAGTCATTTCAGTTTTAATATACTTCCACCGAAAAGAGAAAAATGTCATACATAATTCTTGGGGAAGGAAAAGAATGTCATATAATCAAGGCTGTAGCGATAGTGTGTCATGGCTTTAAAAAGTTGGAATTTAAGGGGCTTATTGAAATGTCTCCAGGCAAGGGCAGGGTGAGGATGCATATAGATAAATTGCCAGTAATTCCTGCCTCTTTTAAGATAGGAATGACCAGTTTATATAAAGATTGCAGTTTGCAGAAAATATACTTGAAGCAGAGGAAGATTTCTGGGAAGGCCAGAGGGCTGTTCATAAGGTGCTCCAAGGACCCAGGAAGCAAGCATTTGCCTAGGAAAATCCGATTCTTGGCTTGCAGGATGAGAAATTCACTTATTAGTGTCCCCAGAGTAAATTGAGCTCTGAGGGACTGGTTAATTAAAAGTCATAAGAAATTGTCTAAAACCAAGAATGTTATCCATATAGAGTGGAAAATATAATAACCAAGTGAACAGAATACATGTTTTTGATTAGCACTTTTTTTTTTCCCGTCGGCAGACCATCCTGGGAAGCTAAATTATGATCAAATGTTTGTTTTCTGATCATTTGGCCAAGGTTAAGTCTAGGGAGCCAGTTGGGCAACCATAGTGGTGAATGTCAAGAAACTCATGTATTGTTTCTCAGGGTAGGAACCCTGTGTCTGAGTTTTGATTCTTGAGCTCCCTAGCCAGGGCAGCTCCCAGAAGAGGGTGTTGATATGGACGCTGCCAGCTCTCTCTCACCCCTCCTTGTTGCTGCTTCTGTGGTGGAGGGGGCCCGCTGCTAATTGAGTGTCCTTGCTTTGAAGATGTTTATAGCTTCAGGCTGTTCCTCTCCATTATGCTGGCCTTGGAGCCATTGCGAGTCTGTGAGGCAGTGAAAGGAATGGTGCTAGGGGAGGGAGGGAGGTGAATCAGCAAGGGCTGCTTTTCAAATTGCTCATATTCCCTGGGAGATGTTGCTGAGGAAGATGCTGGTGTGGACTGCATGCAGTTTACTTCGCAAATCTGTGATCTGGATGATTGTGTATTGATTTCATAGACTTATTTTAACGGGACAGTCTTATTTCCCCATTTTCAAATTCTAGGGTAGGATCTAGAAAGTCCATTCCACAGATTTTTTTCTCTTGCTTTTTAGAGGAAAGAGTGTAGTTCATTTACTCATAAAAACAATTTCTAAATTTCTCTTGCTTTTTAGAGGAAAGAATGTAGTTCATTTACTCATAAAAACAATTTCTAAATTTCTCTTGCTTTTTAGAGGAAAGAATGTAGTTCATTTACTCATAAAAACAATTTCTAAATTTCCAAGAAAGCAATAAATATGGATTCTCAGTGTCCTTGCTGTAGTGACATTTGCTAGAGACTCACTTGTAAAAGAGATTTATTTTAAATTGGATGTTTGTACATATATGACACATGAGACTTCTCTTTGTTGGTGATTATTAAAGTACAGCCATATGCTGCCTGGTTCCTGTTTCCAGGTCAAATGTGGAGGGCGGTGGAGAATATGCTGCTTTGTCAGTTGGGAACTGTGTCCAAAGTATCTGTAAACTCTAGTAGTTAAGGTACTGGAACGCTTTCCATACATTTAAACAGCTTTGAGGTAACCTCACTCATTTTGCATTTCAACTTAGTTTTAAGAAAGAAAAAGAAAGCTGGAATTGTTAATCATCCCTTCTGGGTCTTTCTGGGGAAGAGGTTGAAAACCTGCTGTAGGGTTATGGCTCACATTCCACTGTGTGTATTTTGACACATAGACTCTGTGTGTGTGTGTATGGTGTGTGTGTGTGTGTGTGTGTGTGTTCAGTTATTATCTCTACTAACTTGGTCTCTACTATCTCTCTGTCTCTACTGTGCTGTCCAGTACAGTAGCTACAAGCCACATGAGGCTGGTAAGCACTTGAAATGTGGGGAGACTGAATTGAGATGTGCTATAAATGTACACACTGTATCTCAAAGATTTAGTACCAAAAAAGAGTGTATCAATAAAATATCTTACTAATAATGTTTATTTTGATTAAATGTTGAAATGATAATACTTTAGATATATTGGATCAAAAATATATTACTAAAATTAATTTTACCTCTTTTTACTTCTTTAATGTGCCTATGAGAAAAATTTTTAATCACATATGTATCTCATATTATGTTTCTATTGGCCAGCTCTGTCCAAACACCTTACAGAATGCCTGTGACAGAATTAGGTGCTGAAAGATTTGTTGGAACTTGTTAAACAGGAAGGAGCCTGACAGATTCCACTAGAGGCCTCCCTCCAACTGTTTCTTGTGTGAGATGGCTTCAGCTGTGTCATCTTTTTTTTTTTTTTTCCAGATTCTTCAATAATCTAATGTTCTATGCCCTTCAGGCTGTTAGACCTTAAGGTATCCGGGTCTGGTTATGTCCCAGTGATAACAGAGGGCCTGTTGCATGATGTATGCCAAATACACAGTAAAATCCAGAAATTCCAAGTGCTTCTTCATTTGAACCTATTTGGCTTCTCTCCTTTGTAACAGGGGTTTGATTTTCCCAATAATGAATGACTTAAAATAAGGTGCTTAAAAATTCCACATTGAGTCTCAAGATAGTGAACAAACACTATTTTAAAATGCCCTCTGAGCCTCAGTTTCCCCTTCTGTAAAACGAAGGAGTTGGGTTTGAGTTAGTTTTGCAGACCATGCCACGGATGGGTGAACTAAATTTGCTGTCACAATCCCCAGCAGTGAGGAAGTGAGGGGAACCCAGCTGCAAATGTGGATTTGAGAGTGGGGTGGAGGGTTGAGCCAGGGCAGCAAATGGTTGGAAAACTGGCCTTCAAGAGGTCAATGTCAGCTTTGAACTTTCAAGCCTGAAAAGTATGTCTTTGTCTTTTGATCTGATGATTTGGTCTAATATGATTGTCTCTCATTCCAGTGTATGTACTCACTGTAGATTTATGTACAGAACTAAATATCCCATTTATTCATGTATAAACCATAATAAAACCAGTCAGATATTTCCCCTCACCAGCAGATTTTGCATTGGAAAAGGAAAACAAATATACAAATTTCAGCAACCTCAGAAATTTCATTAAACCTGCATAGAGGCATAGTTCATTTTAGAGTTCAATTATACCTTCAAGGAATCAGTTCCTATCATAAAGACAACTACCGTAATGTCTGTGCCGTGCAAAATTATCCCCATTTATTGTGGTTCACCTGCGGACTCTACTGCCTCTGGTGAAGGCACTCAGCAAGTTCTTTTCACAAATAACACCCTTCAGGACGGCCCCTTCCTGTTTTACACAGCATTGTCTCAGAACGTGTGGCCAAAGTAATTCAAAAGCAAGCTAACGACTAACAGGGACTCCTGAGGCCAGTGGTATTGAATTAACAGGCCAGAAGGGGACCCTGTGACCTCTCCAAGAGCTGCCCATTCATAAGCTGACAAAATGTAACCTCTAAGTACAAAATTCCAATTATCAAAAACAGCTGTGTCATCTTGATCACCATCCCCTGCATGCATATTCTTAGCTTTGTCAATGACTTGCTCGAAATGTACATCTGTAGTTGAACACAGTAGTCTTAAAATTTAACACTTAGGAATGTATTTGTAAAAAAAACAGTATTTTCCCTTTAAATATATTAAAACAATTTATACCCTGTAGATTTATGATCTGTGATAATTTGCCTTTGACACTTATCTTCCATTATCTTTGGGGAAGAGGTTTGCAGAACAAACTAAGGGAGCCAACAAAATTTGCTAGGGGTGGTCGGGAGGGAAGGATGGCCAAATGTCAAATACACTTAGGAAAACTAAGCTTTCAGTAGTACTCAAATATCTTGAGAGAACTTACACTTAATTCATATGCTATTATTTCTCTACTATAAAGCTATAATCCAGTAACACAGACATAGGTATGCAAAGCTATATTAAATAATGCAGACATTTCTTAATAATTTCCATTATTATCACTGTTTAGACCAATCCTATTCTTTTGGGGTGGGAACTCCAGTAGAGGGGACTGACATATTTCCAGTCACGGCACACTAGCATCATTGGTCTGGAAAAACCCTTTTTTTGTGTGTTACTTACACATTTATTACTTTTTTATCCCCATTCACCACTTTCAGTCTTTTCTTCTGCACCTTAATCATTCTAAGGTGCTTGTGTATTCTCTCACATGTTCTTGAAAGCATGCGTTGGCGTCGTGTGTGCCTATATTTTAAATTTACATGGATTAAAAATTGTGCAGTAGATACCTTCCTTTTCCTTTTGCTGCTTTTCACTTAGAATGTTTTAAATATCTATTCCCATTGCAGTGTGTAAGTCTAATTTGTTTCTTTTTGTTGATGGATAATATTCCGTAGTATGCATCCCCCACATCTTATTTATCCGTGTTCCCAGTCCGTCCTGTTTCCTTTGTTCTGCTAAGAAGAGCTGAACTTTGGCCTGTACACAGTTTCCTTCCCATCCTTTTACTGCCTTAGTAGGTTTTCCCGATGAGCTTAAACATACTCAAATTGCCCAAGTGGAAGAATACCCCCTTGACTGTGTTCTCTGCTCCCAGGAAAGCTTTCAGGCCTTCCTAACCATTTTGCACAAGATTGAATTGTTTTCTACTTCAGGTGGCTTTGTTTTACCTGGGAGAGAGATTACATGGTGTGTGTTTGCAGCAGGTTGCCATGCCCAGGATAGTCTTTCTCTAATTAAGAGGAGATTCTCCCCATCTGAACACTAGCTTCCATTCATTGGAGCTAATATGTGTGTGAAAGTTAATTACTCCATTGAGCTTCTCTAGTTTTAAGCCCCAGCTTCTGCCAGAGTCTTAAGAGGCCTGGCTTTTTAAATTTAAAATGCGTTTGTTAGCACACATTTAAACTAAAAAAGTTAGTTTTAAAGTAGAGTCATTTCTCTGCTCCTGGACATAAACATGCTGTCTTCACGTTCACAACTCGAGAGAGAAATTTGGAGATCAGAATTTAGGATATACACCCATATTCTTAATAATAGATAGTTTTGTAGTTGATACAACTTGGAGATTGCCTTTTAAGACACACAAGTGATCAGCTGAGCAAGTGACACAGCGAGAGGCTAGGTGCTGTAGTAGCTGAGCTTGGATTTTGGAGTTGTGCAGACCTGGACTGGAGTCCTGGTTCTTTGAACTAGCCAAATGACTTTAGATGTTGTGTTTGGTTTTCTATACTAATACCTCCCTCAGAGGGTTGCTGTAAGGATTAAATGAAGTAATGCTGCAAAGCACTAGCCTAATGCCTAGCTAGCTACTCAGAAAATGGTAGCTGCTGTCGTCATCGTCATCACCATCACCATCACCATCATCAAAAGGCTCCTAAAGCCAAGAATTACTGAGATAAAAATGAGCGTTTGGCAATTGGGAGAGATGAGTAGCATCATCAGGGCATGAACTTTAAAGGCTCAGAGGAGTATTCAGAACTATCCTCTGGAATGAAATCAAAGAGAAAAGAGGCTAAAGGTACCAAAAAACGTCTAATGTGTCCAGTCTTCTTTGAAGAAGTTTCAGATCTGAGACTAGAAAGGAAACGGATGAGGTAATCCTCTTTGCATCTGATCCCATCTGAGGGATCCTATTCTCAGTGCCAAGCCTTTCCTGTTCCTTTGTCCTGTGCCTCAGCTCTCCACTCAGAACACTGTTCTTTCTACACAGTTGTGCTGTGTTGAGAGGGATGTGACCTACTGCAGCCAATTCATCCTGCATACGTTTCTTATATGCCTAGCAGTGTGTCAGGCCCTGTTCTGGGTCCTCCAGGAGGATGAACTAGAGGCAGTCTCTGTCTTCAAAGTAATCAGAGACCTGAAGGGGAGGTAGTTAAGCCGCCAGTTTTAACAAGTGCTCTGCCAGAGGTAGGCTTAGGAACCAGTGGGAGCATGAAGGAAGGACATCTAATTGAGGCTATAGCCGCTGGATTTGGGAAAGATTCCTAGGGAGACATTTTCATTATCTCTGGATGACAGAGAAGTCCTTTTAACCTCCTCTTTCAAAAGTAAGGTTTTTACCTTTTCTTTTATCTTAATTAGGGACTAGTTATGGTTGTTACCTAACCCCTTGGAGTGAAATAATCTAAATAAACAGTAGCCATTTTCCTTTTATTAACAGACATTATGAGTTAGGTTTCCCCCAGTAGCCATTAACATTCCCAGCATCCCATCTTCTGCAATAATGGAGTGGATGTAATAATGTAATCAACTCTGTTAATAAATTGATATTATTTTTCTCCAAGGAGAGGATTCTCATCATTGGAAATATAAAGCTTCCCAAGAAGGCATTGGAGTCACAGCTAGAAGACTCCATGGGTTAGTAGGGTTAGTGGTTTCCTTATTGAAACTTCCTAATTGATACTTGTATCATTGCCCAATAAAAATACTAGTGCAAACATGGCGCCACCAAATGTGGCATCCTTTTATATCCAGAAGCTCTTTTCCCCTTTTGTTCAAAGCTTCAGTCCATAAATATTCACTAGGCATCCACTAGGTACCAAGCAAAATAATTGGTGCCCAAGGATAAAAGAAATGATTAAGGCATGGTCCCCAAATAATACTAGAATGTGTTAAGTGCTGTAACAGAAGAGTATGTACAGAGAAAGAAGAGGGCTGAGGTTTCACAGCAAGTGGCATTGATCCTGCATGCAGTAGGGGTTAGGAGGGAGGTTGAAAGGGGAAACTGGAGTAAGAGTGTGTGTTTGCGTAAGGGAGTCGGGACAAATAGCCCAACTTTAGCTGAAGGAGCAGTGAGACAGAATTATGGGAGAAAATAAAGATTGTGGTAGGATTGGAGGGTACACAGGGTATTTTGAAGAGTAAGACAAGGAAGATAAAGGAAGGTCAGAACCAGATTAAGAGGGTTACTTAGGGTGGATTGGAAACAGAGCCGAAGATAGGAACCCCAGGGGAACATTTAAGTGTGAGTCCTGACAGGAGACTTAAAGAGCAATCAGAGAGGAGGCTGTAGAAAACTTAGGAGAGACCAATGGTTCAGAAGCTAATAGAGGAAAGAAATGTCAAGAAGGATTGTCAAGTGCTAGGGAGAAGTTACCTACGAGGGACGTTGGAAAGTGTCTTTGGGATCTGAATATTGACCCCCAGATGGCAGTGCTTGAGGCAACAGCCAGATGTAGGAGACTGAAGAGAAGTCTGGGGAAGTTAAACCAGGGAGTGTAGGCTCATCTTTCAAGGAAGAACCTTTGTTAAGATGCCTATCCTGGGTAAGGGTTAAGACCTGTGACCAGGACCCACAGCAAAGGTGCCCTTGTGGAGACTGAAGTTCAGTGTTCGTGGCTGAATGAGAGTCAGAGAGGGAGAGAGACTGAGGGAGAACTTAATCTGAAAACCCACTGCTGGCCTCACACTGTGGTCTTCTGCTCACTGGGAGTCATGCACATGTCATGTTAGGATTTATATCCACATAACCAGGTCTCCAATTCTTAATAAGCACAATCTCTGACCACTGTTCCCGTAGTTTGAAGTGCCAGAAATGACATAATGAAACCCTTTATCGTTACTTCTTCAGGGAAAATTGCTCTCGATTTATGGGTTTTTGAGAAGTCAGGTGGGGCAGGGGTACCTGTGAACATGCAGACCAGAGCAGATGCTACTTCAGATCATCCTGTCGTGGGGGACCCTGTCATTTGAAATAGGATTGATTTACTCTCTGCCTGTAAAATCTTTGAACATGTTTTCTGCTACTGTTTTTCAGAATCATTTGCTGTTTCAAATAGAGAACTGTGCGATGATGAGAAAGAGTTCATACATTTCCCCGTATGTGAGGGGACCTCCCAACCTGAACCCTCGTGTTCAGCTGTCAGAATAACAGCCAATAAAAACTACAGGAGCAAAACCTCTCAGGAAGGTGCTTTAAAAAAGATGCATGAGGAAGAACACCATCAACAAATGTCCATCTTACAACTGCAGCTGATACAGATGAATGAGGTGCATGTGGCCAAAATCCAGCAGCTAGAGCGAGAGTGTGAGATGGCAGAGGAGGAACACAGGATAAGAATGGAAGTTCTCAATAAAAAGAAGATGTATTGGGAAAGAAAACTGCAAACTTTTACCAAGGAATGGCCTGTTTCCTCATTTAACCGGCCCTTTCCCAATTCACCCTAAGATGGTGGGGTGTGGCTCCCTTGTAATTAATCTGTGTTGGCAAAGAAGGCCTGGAACACGAACTTGCGGTCGGTAGCCTGTCACAGAGCTACAACTAGGAAGATGAGAGTGGTAGTAGTCACTTATTTAAGAATACATTCAGGTAAACAGCTGCACCCTATGTACCCCTGAAGTGGCAAAGAAGCTGTTCGAGTCTTCTGAAAATTATCACTATGAGTGCTATCATTCTGAATGTAATGTCTCTTAATTAGAATTCATACAAGAACCATGTGTGAGTGTTGTTGTTGTATTTTTTTAATCAAATGCAAGTGTGACTATAAAGGAGTGTGGCTGGGTTTTGTGGGTTTTTTTTTTTTTTTTTTTTTTTAAATAGACGTCAGACCTTGTCTATCCAAATGAATGCCCTCCCATTGAAAGTGGCTGTCCTGGGAGGACACACGTTTCTCCAGTGGTGATGCTGTCGCTGAGAATTTGCTAGAGGTCTTTCGGAGCCTCCACAAGAGCTACAGCACACTTTTCATTTTGTCAATGTCATCTTTGGAGCATGGATTTTCTGTTTTTAAACAGCCGAACATAATGGAAGGCTCTTTTCTAATGTGGCTCATAGGCTGCCTTTTAAGTCCTTCCTTTCCCCAAAGAGGAGTTCCAGATAATGTCTCCAGCAGGTGTAGCTTTGTTGGAACTAAGGATGTGACTACCTTGAGGGAGAAACGTTCGCTTAGAGCTCTACATTCTGTCCTGCTTGTTTTATTAAAAGACAAGACTTGTGATTTTATAGTCACACTGTGTATGTTTTTGAAAGGTGCTGCCCACCCCCACTGTGCTACAGTTTTTGCCTTCCTGCTGTAGTTTCCTACCGACTTTGTACTACTGAGTAAATGGTTGCCCTTGTTTTTAATCTTTAGCCACCTAAGGCAAGGCCCTTCCCTCGCCACGCTCCTGGTGCTAGCTAATAGTGATGCTACGTAGTCTGCAGAGTATGCAGTTAGTATTGAGCTTTTGCAGAATCCATTACCAATGTATTTGGAAACGTGGATTGATAAATGGATATTTTGACTGAGCTGTGATATAACTTCTCCTGTAGCCTAGTGTGAAAAACAGCCTTGGGAGTTGGGCATAACAGTAGCTGGAAGAAGCAAAGTGACAGTTAAGAGCCAAGGCAGGTCAGCAATTTCTGAGAATGAAAGTTCAAGGCCATGTTGTGGGGAAGGAGGAGTGTGTGTGACAGAGGCTATATAGGGAGTGTAGGACGAGGAGTCAGGGCTTGAATTCTGAGCTTGGCTCTGTCTCAAGGGCTGTGTGACCTTAAGTTACTCCATTTAGTCTTTGGCCCTGGTGTTTCCCGTCTATAGAACAGGAGAGTTGGTCTAGGTGATGGTCAGAATCTGCTACAGCTCCCTGACTGTGATTTGATCTGCACAGTCTTGGGTGAGTACTGCTAACATCATGATTGTCCGGAGGACGCGGGTCAACAGGGAGAGTTTACTGCAGTGGCTAAGCTTCCTTCCTTTCATAATTTTGGAATTTGCGTCCTGGGGTCTGTATATACTAATATACTAATGTATGCACTGCATAAAACTTAAGTGGATATCAATTTATTTTATACACTGATCATATTTTAAATATCTTAGAGGAACTGGTTATTTGAAGGAACCCTGTGAAGACTAGTCTTCTTTCAAAGGAAGGATGCTTTTGTAAGGATTTGCGTTCTTAATTTAGTTTTTACCAAATGGACCCTTTAGAGAAGCAGCATCTGGAAAAAGTCCCAAGCGTAACCGATTTATGGGAGACATTAGGGCAGAGAGTGGCAGGTCCTCAACACAGATGATGTGGACTGAGAAAAGTTTGCCTTTGCTTCACCTATTGAGCCATCTGGAAATCTCCTTAATATGCAGATTCTGGTGGGGGGGGCCTGAGATTGTGCATTTCTCACAAGCTCCCAGGTTATGCCAGTTCTGCTTGTCTGGTCACCACAATTCTGTGTAGCAAGGTTTTAGAGGACCCTGTGAACCTTTTACCTGTTCTCAAAAAAAACAAAAAAAAAACCCATTAGGTTAGGTACACTTTTGTGTACAGCATTGTGCCGGATATTATTCCTCTCTCAGAATTTACCGCCTAATCACACAAATAACAATGTAGAACAACACAAAAAATGCTCACGCACATAATGGAACTATAAAAGCATCGAACTAATTCCTAACTGAACAAATAAAGGATAATTAAACCAGCAGGCTAAAGCACCTTGTTCTACTGTTAATGGTATTTACGAGTTTATAACAGTTTTCAACCTTGAGTATGCATTAGAAACAGTATTTTATAAAAAATTAGTCCCGCTGGGTCCCACTCCCAGGGGATTCTCATTCAGTTTATCTGGATTGAGGCCTGGTCCTCTATATTTTTTGGAAGCTTTACAGGGAGTGATGATGCCCAATTGGGATTGAGAACCACTGGTGTAGAGTTCACAAATGTGTCTCATTTGGTCCTTAGTCCTGTGAAGTCCTGCAGAAGTGAGGAAATGATGCTCAGAAAAGAACCGCCTGCACCAGGATGAAACCTAGTGAACAGCAAAGCAGAACCTCAGTCCTAGGTCTCTCGACTCAAAAACAAATAGGCCCACCTGCCTTCCCCCACCCCATCCCTCAAAGCTATATCGTGGATTTGCTTTACCCCGAGAGCCAGATCACATCTACAGGATACTTGTAATGCCTCCACTCATGAACAGGTACATCCCAATTCATTCCACTTTTGAGTAGTTCCTTACCTGAGGTGGAAATGCAATAATCATTTCTTGGTAGATGCTGTAGAGAATTGACCGATAAATACTAAGACACAGTTCATCATCCCCTGACCTGCCAAATAATGGACACAGCCCAGTAGGGGACATAAGACTTGTATACAGCTATCATGTACTTGATCAGGCACGTCTTCTAAAGGATTTGAAGCCTAGCAGAGAGTGAAGAAGCTTGAAGGAAAGCCTGGAGGAGGTGGCATTTGAGCTAAATCTTTAGAGTTGGTATTTTGGTAGGTGCAGATTCAGAAAGGAGAGGAACTTCACTAGATGCAAGGTCCTGTTGAAGGTTCAAGATGGTGAGACACATAATTGGGAGGACATGGGAGAATATCCAAATTAGGCAGTAACATGATCAAAACTGTGCTCCAGGAGGAAGATTAGAAGATGGAATTGAGTTTAGAGAAGACTGGAGTTCAGGAGATGAGGTAGGAGGGTTTGGTTACGATGAGATGATAGGAGCACCTAGTAAAAAACGAGGGAGACCAACGTGAAGGGCGTTGCTGAAGTGGAATCAGTCAGTCTTGGCAGCACATTGCTTTTGTTGGAGGGGATGGGTAAAGTTTTAAAGCTAGATGCCGGAAAGAATGATGCTGATTGAAATAAAGAACGGATGCATTTCTGGCTGACGTGTCCTAGGAGAGGCCTAGACATGAACTAGTGCAGTTGTTCCCACCCACTCAGCCTCAAACACCAGCACCTCCTCCCGTCTCCTCTTTGGCTGTCACCTCTTTGCTCTGGCTTCTGCCTCTTCAGCCTCCTGTGCTGCCTCTTGCACCTGTTCATCTGACGTTTTAACCCCTCCCTGTTGGGTCCTTGTCCCCCGACTCAATTTGGTGCTCCCTCTGCCATCAGTACCTCCAGTGCAGCTGGTGGTGCATCAGTCACCATCTCTTATAATGGCTTCACACTTGAAAGAGCAGGAAAGACTATAGTTGATGCTTAACAACCAGGGGGCTAGGGGTGCCCACCACCCCCAGCTGTGGAAAATCCGCTTATAACTTTACATTCAGGCCTCTGTATCTGCAGTTCTGCATCTGGGGATTCAATCAACTGCGGATGGTGTGCTGTAGTACCCATTTATTGAAAAAAAAAAATCTGAGTATAAGTGGACCAGCACAGTTGAAACCCATGTTGTTCAAGGGTCAACGGGATTTCTTTTTTTATTTTTTTAAATATTTATTTATTTAATTTATTTTGGCTGCGCTGTGCCAGGTCTTAATTGCAAATTGCAACATGCGGGATCTTATTTTTTATTTTTATTTTTTTTTTACTTGTGGCACACGGGCTTCTTAGTTGCGGCATGCATGTGGGATCTACTTCCCCAACGAGGGATCGAACCCAGGCCCCTGCATTGGGAGTGTGGAATCTTACCTACTGGACCACCAGGAAAGTCCCTCAACTGGATTTCTTTATCTTGAGCTTCAATTCTTTTCTAGCTGGCATCCACAAATTTCAGGGTATTTTTTAAGTGTCCCATGTTGTGTAAAGGTACACTGGCTGAGAGGGGATGTTAATTCCCATGTATCCCTATTACAGTCTGTTTCCAAAAATCAAACATAGAATCCTACCTTATTAATGCATTAAAAATTAGCAAATATTTTAGGAACTTTTCAGGGAGAATCTTAAAATGCATTGGCTTTTTTTTTTTTTTTTTTAAGAAGAAAGAGAACAGAAGAAGAGAGGTATGGTGGGGCAGTGCATTTGAGTTGTCAACAGCTTCTGCAGTGTCAGGTCAATTACATCAACACTTGGTCTGGACCAGGGGAAAGGAATGGTTCTGCCTCCTGGGAATGTCAGAAGGACCTGATAATTATATTTGGCAAAGCCAAGAAGAGTGGCTCTGTAATGTCATTGCTAAGAATTACCCTTTTAATAGTATCTCTGGATGTCTGAGCTGTTCAAATGGAATGACGCTTCTTTTCTGCTGTGGCTTTCATTTCTGTTGGGCTGCTTCCCAGCTGGTCCTTTTGTTCTTCCTTGCCCTTTTCTATCTTCTGCCTTCCCAGCCCTGTTTCTCCAACCCCTCCTTCTGCACCCACAGCAGTTTTCACTGTCCCCCCTTTTACAGTTGGAGTCATGTGAGAATGTGTGTAAGGGAGATACTTGCCCAAAACCAGCATATTCAACATGTGGTATCAATAAGGTGAAGTGTAGCCTTGGACTAGACAAAATATCGACCATCTGCTTCCCTGCTGCATCCGCTACTTTTGTGTTGGTGGGACTCAGAAGTCACGGAAAAGGTCACCAGTGATTCATGTCTGTGACAAATTCTTTTCTAATTGTGCCGTATATTATGCCCTTCAATACAACTTACTAATCTCTGCCTCAGTTTTTCCATCTGTGAAAGTGGTGTAATACTTATCTACCTCCCTTGAATGTTGTAAAGATTAGTCTATGTTAGTAAAGCACTTTTGAAATAAAGAGTGATGTAAAGCATTTTAATATTATTGTTGTCATTGTGATGTGGATGCCCCCCTGTAGAGATGCTGCTCTGTAGGGGAAGTACCCCATGGATACCACGGTTTAGGAACACCCAGTACAGAAAACGTCCATAACAGACACAAGAGTGATTTCTTGGTGTGTGTGAAAGTTTTCAACATAGTATTTCCTTAAACAGCCCTTTGGTTCATTTAGAATGAGATTTGATTATAGAAGAGTGATTTATGTAAGATTTTTAAAGAACATATCTATTGAACCTTTATTACCCAGTATAATAGGGTTTGCAAGCTGATTATTAACCTAACAGTGCAGTTTGTCAACATTAGGTGGAAAACTTCCATTTCTACATTATCCAGATGCCCAGATTGTGCGTGAAGGTTTTTTCACTGTTGACACTGATTAGAGTGGACAGAATGGGGATCCTGCTACTTCTGAGTGAGGGGATCGCAGCTCCAGTTCCACTTGCAAAATATTCTCACAGCACCTCTAGTGTGGGGGGAAAAGACTCACCATGTGTGTTCATCAGAGTAGGGGGTT